TTTATTTTAATTTTTAATGGAGGCACTAGGGATGAACCCAGAACCTCATGCATGCCAAGAACCCAGGACCTCTTGCATGCCAAGCACGCACTCTACCACTGAGCTACACCCTCCCCTCTCTGGGACTCTATTAGAAAAGTAGACTGCAGCTTGGTAGGTCTGGCTGGGACCAAGATTCTGCATTTCTAACAAGCTTGCAGGCAAGGCTCCAGGTCTATGAACCAATTTTTGAGCAAGACACAGATAATGTACTTTCCTCCAAAGTCCAAGCTGGACTTGTCTCAGTTTTTAATCAGCATATCCTTGTTAATATTCCTTGCTGTAACCGATCTTGATGGTGTTGATTATATTAAACATTACTGCAAATACAATGGGAAGAAATCTATATTACTTAAAATTTTTGTAATTGTTCTTACCTATACTCTGGTAATGCCATCGAAAGAAAATTCGTTCAGGTAGAAACTGCAGTATTTTCTACAAAACAAACAAAATTAATAAGATATAAAGAGAAAATAAACAACAAATGACATTACACACTTTCATGATAGCCCACAGTACATGCTATATTACTCTATGCAGAAAAGAAAAAAAAACCTGTTTGTAATAACATAAATATTGCCCTTTATCCTGGACCCCTAGGGGACAGTCTCTTTGACTTGCCCCAAGCAAGCTTCCTTTCCTGAATGTTTTAAAGAGATTACTGTTCCAACTTTAATTCTCCCTAAAAGGAAGCAAAAAAGAAAAGGAAAAAAAGAACTAGTGATCATTGTATCTCACACCCACTGCTTAAATATCACAAGAAGAGTTTCTCTAGGTTTCTCCTTTTTTACCCTCCACTTTCCACTTATGTCAACATCACTGGACAGAAACAGAACCAGGAAGAAAGATGGACAACAAAGAGGATGAGAGCTTATGCAGTGGAATAAGGAAATGAGACTGGTAGCAAGAATTACTTGAAATTAATAGCTAAAAATAAGTTTCAGGATTGTAGTTATGAACCCTTCCCCACTCCCACAAGGTAGATACAATAAAGAACAAATTTCCGATATACAAGAGTATTTGGCTCATGAAAGCAACTTTTCCCCCAAAGACCCAAAGCAATAAGAATGACCTTTTTTTCACTCCAGAGCAAGTGTTGGCAAGTCACTCTTGGGCTGTAAGATCCTTGTATTTTTTCTGCAACCACCTTTTTTAAAAATGTAGAATATCCAAGATACATTTCTTGGTATTGATAGTGTGTTATTGTTTTACTGTGAAAAATCTTCATTCTAGGTTTCTCTAGCCTCCTATTCTAACATTCTGAAAGATTAAGGTAAGGAACTTATATTCAGATCTCCTGAGTAAGCATCTCTCCAGGTAGCTATGGAAACACTGCCTCCACCACTCGGGCCAGCTCGGGGTTCGGTTTGGTCTTAACTTTCTAACGGGCTCCGCACCATACATGTTCATGTCTTTCACTTGTTCCCACTTGACAGGAAAGGAGCGTCTAGGAACCTGTACTGGAAGAGCCACAACAGGTAGACCTGGTCGAACACGGTGGCTGCAAAGGCAGGACGTCACCTCCGCACATGAGTCCCTCTGAGCGCTCTATCTGCAGGAGCCTGGCTCTGCACCACTGTCCACTTCTCCATCACCTCTCCCAGCGTCTGCACGGTCCTCATCCCTGGCTAAGTAGAAGCCCCGCAGACACCAGAACACTCCGAAGTACCCCCAGTGCCTGGAGCATGCCTGGAACGCGTAGATGCTCAATTAATACTCAGTGAAAGAACTTGGACTGCTTCCTCCCTGTGGAACTGTGACTTTCACAGGTAATCCTGATCTCTGCTACGGTCCTATGTTCACACTGACATAACATATACCTTGTCCTTCCTTAAACGTCACCGAATTACCAACGACATTTACATTAAAATACATTAAAACATGTGGGCATTTTTAAACCCTGAACCCAGTGAAGTAAAACTCAAACAAACAAAAAAATGCTGTACAATTTGAAAGAACTAATTTTTCAAAATCTGATAAACATAAAATACAAATGTATTTAGTTATATACTTTTTTGCAAGCCATTCACACTACACGTCTACAAAGAGGAAAACCTAAACCAACCACCCCAGATTGTCTCTAATTACACAGATTAAAGGCAGTACATAGTTGATCACATACTGAAAACCACTGAAGTAAATTCTCTCCAACATATTTCCATTTTCGACTTCTCCGAGAACATGTGGGCTTGCTGTCTTTTAAGCCCGTAATTCTAAAAGGTATCTTAAATCTTGTTTTACTATGTGATAATACTGACATGTACTCAAACATCCCTACACACACACACACAGGCCAAATCCCGTTTAGTGAAAAATACCTACACACTAGGTACGAAGGTTGGCATCTGAAATGCAGAAATTAAACAACTATGAATGAAATAGTTCGTCTTTACTTCCAAGGGTTGCATGATTCATGGGGAAGAGAGACAGCAAGGAAAGTATCATTCAGGGAAAAAAAGAAGCCTGGCCACAGTCTGTAGGATGCGCTACGCAGGTGACGGGGAAAGTGCCTCACTTCAGCAGGGACTTCGTGAACTGCTTCCTGGAAAAGAGGACACTTGCACTGAGACTTACAAAACTAACTAGTTAGCCGAGAGGAGACCTGGAACAGAGGAGGAGCATGTGTGAAGGCTAAGAGGCAGACTTGGTGACTTAAAGGAACAGCAACAGGCGGTCAGCTCAGCGGGCAGGTGGTGAGCAGGTAGGAGACGCGCCCGGAGAGGCAGCGAGGGCGGGCTGATGTTCTCACCGGAGCAGGATATGGCTGGAGGTAAACTTAAGACAGCTGAGAAGATAGGTGAGGTGTCTCGAAGAAGAGGCGATGGTAGTATTTCCAACAAGGAATGAAGTGGCCTAGACCAAGGTGAGCAGGACAAAGAGGAGAAGCTATAGCAGGGACATCCGGGAGATAAAGCTGTCATGATGGACACAAGTTGGGTACACAGGGGTCTCAAGAATGATACCCCCGGCCCCACTAAAAAGGGCTTCGTAGGTGGCAAGAATTTTATCCAAGATGTTGAATCCAGAAGGAATCCTAGAATTCAAGCATGTTGTTTGGTTCTGGAAATCCTGGAATTTGAGGTGTCAGAGGACTACCTTAGCGGAGATGCTCTTCTGGGCAACCGGGCATATGGGTCTAGAGGGCAGGGGCAGTGTCTGGGTGGTAACAGAGCACAGGCAGCAGCCAAAGGCGTGTCTACGAGATCCTGGGTGAGAGAGCTGAAGATGAAGTGAGATGAAACCCCTGTGCCGCCACCGGTGCGCTGAGGTCCTGCTCAGAAGGCAAGGATGGGGAAGGGGGCAGAAACCAGAAGCAAGTGTGCACAAGTCAAAGGGGAGCCTCCAGATGCACCAGGTGTCTATATGTTTGTTTGATTTAAAGATGAGAAATACTCATGGCCAACTGATATGCACAACCAGTTAGAAAAAAGCTGCTGGGAGACGTGGGGAAGTTGACGCCAATAACAAAGCAACTTCAGTATTAAATCAAGTGGGCCCCATGGTGCCTCCTGCTGGAGAACCCACAGCCTGTCAGCCAAACACCAAATGCCAGATGGGGTGGGTCCGCCCGAGTGTAAACTGCACAAAGGCAAGGGCTCTCCGGGGGGTGAGGGGGGATCAAAATAGGTCTTCCCCATACAAATGATCAATAGGCACATGAAAAAATGCTCAGTATCACTAATTATCAGAGAAATGCAAATCAAAACTACAATGAGGTATCACCTCACACCAGGCAGAATGGCCATCATTCAAAAGTCCACAAATGACAAATGCTGGAGAGGCTGTGGAGAAAAGGGAACCTTCCTACACTGCTGGTGGGAATGCAGTTTGGTGCAGCCACTATGGAAAACAGTGCGGAGATTCCTCAAAAGACTAGGAATAGACTTACCATATGACCCAGGAATCCCGCTCCTGGGCTTATACCCAGAAGGAGCCCTACTTTAGGATGACACCTGCACCCCAATGTTCATAGCAGCACTATTTACAATAGCCAAAACATGGAAACAACCTAAATGTCCATCAACAGATGACTGGATAAAGAAGATGTGGTATATTTATACAATGGAATACTACTCAGCCATAAAACAGACAACATAACGCCATTTGCAGGAACATGGATGCTCCTGGAGAATGTCGTTCTAAGTGAAGTAAGCCAGAAAGAGAAAGAAAAATACCGTATGAGCTCGCTCATATGTGGAATCTAAAAAAACAAAG